TACATAATCACATAACTGAATGCCAGAATGTTAAGTATATTGTAATTTGCTTAGCCAGTATTATAAATTAAACTCAGGACCTGAATTTCGTTTTAGAAACAGCTTTGGTGGAGGTACAGAAAGTACAGAAATGCTGCAGAAATGGAATAAACTGTAAATTAAAAACAGTAAATTCACTGTAACAGATTAATTAGATTAATTCTTAAAATTAAAGTTACAAAAGTTATTCAGTCAAGAGCAGTGAGTGATTTTGCCTTTTGTTGTTAACATTAATTAACAATAACCAATAGGCCTAATTAATTAACATTGTTAACATTAACATTTGGTATGAAAGTGACAGCAGCTTTTATACCTGCTGTCTGTCAGTCTGTGTTAAAGTAAACTGGGTGAAAAATCACTCTGTTCAAATCTGCTCTTGACTAAATAACTTTTTCATATTTAATATGGATTAATATATAAATATAATCTATATCTATGACTTTATACGTCATAGTATTTTGTTCCTGAATAGTAGCTACTGTTAGTTTTAGGCTAGCCAACCTGAAAACAAAACAATAACTTTTTCTTGAGGTGTTTGTGAGGCGGCTTCATGTGCTCGACGCTTTTGATGTGACCGTGAGCGCCCAGAAAACTAGTTTGGAGCTCGCAAGTACCGAATGGTTTAAAAAGACGTGCAAATGAAAAACTTTTGTGATGATGCAACACTGACGCGATTAGGCAAATGACAGTCCTGTCAGCTGAGTGAAAGTCTTGTATGGCAGCGTGCAACAGCTCTCTTAGTGCAGACGAGATGCGCTGATGTGAAGCAATTTTGAGAGAGTGAGAGCGAGAAGACGCTGTACGTACAGCTGAACCACACACGCTGTTTTCAAATGATTGACTTAATCTGATATTCTGTGTGAATTTTTTTAACTCATCTAACCTACATTGTATATTAAATAAATGTTTGCGGGAATTTTCCAAACGTGCGAAACCTGCGAAAATTAGTAAAACCAAAATGAGCAATCCTGCACCGAGATTCAGGGCGTGATTAAACATATATTCTATTATATAGAGATTTGTAAAATAAATTTCCACGACTTTTCCAAAGCTTTCTGGGTTTTTCATGACCGTACGAACCCTGTAAATGGCTATTTTTATTTTTTGAAATTGTTTTGATGATTTCTGCTCCACTTTGTGTGGTAGTGAGACGGGACAAAGTCCCTGCAAGATATTAGGGTATTCTATAGTCTTTGGACGGGAGAGAGCGCTCAAAACTCTTCAGATTAAATTAGTGGAACATTAATATAATATAGAATCATCCTCTGTAAAGAAGACATGTGAGAATTTATCATTATCTTTGTAAATGTGCGCTCTTTTGGGCTAAAGGCTTAATGGAACCGTTTAAAGTCATGCATGTGATCACAAATTAATCGGCAATTCGGCGCAGCGCAGACATGATTTAATACGTGTGTCCTTATTCTATGTGAAAAAATTCCAGTTAAATTCCAGTTTATGCTGTTTGATTATGGCTTCGAATGTCGTAGTTGGAAGCTGGAAGTTGTTAGCCCCGGCTGGACCGTGCGCGCTGCTGAAATGCGGCTAATAATTTCTGACTGGCACATAACTGAACAAATGTAAACGGGTTAAGGCGGGGCCCCTGGGCTGCAGCCCAGTCAAGCCCAATGGTAAGTCCGGCCATGCATACGATACTGTCCAAAATCACCCTTTACATTTGGTAGACGCTTTTATGCAAAGCGACTTGCATTGCGGTCGAATTTTACATATATTTCTATCAGTTCTTGTATTCAGTGGCAATCGAATCCAAGACCATGGCGTTGCGAGCGTGATGTTCTACTGTTTGAGCAACACTCAATGGTATTGCTTTCAATGAGAAACATTTGGTGTCAATAACTTGATACAAAGGTTCTGGGAATTTTATCATCATAAAACTATTAGGGGTATTGTTGGGAATAATTTTGTCATCATGACGTGATATGTTGGGTTATGAATTACAATTTGAATAGCCACAGTTGTCACATTATGCACACTTTAAAGGGTTTTACCCAAAAATGAATATTCTGTCATCATTTCCTCACCCTCACGATGTTCCAAACTTATAAGACTTTCGTTCATCAAAAACACAAATTAAGATTTTTATTCCTGAGAGATTTCTGTCCATCTATTGGAAGTCTATTCCACCAAAACTTTAACACTCGAAGAGATTGTAAAATCCAAGGCGTCTAAAAAGACACAATCACTTTATATGATAAACATTTCATTTAGGCTTTTATTCACATATAAACATTGATGAATGCACATACACTAAACATGTGAGGTTGATGGATTATCTCGGCAAAGGAGAAGTGCTCACTAACACAGATTTAGACAGATTTGTAAACAATATTTGAGAGAAATAGGCCTTTTGTGTACATAGAAAAAGTCTTAGATCTTTGAGTTCAGCTCATGAAAAATGGGGGCAAAAACTAAAGTGTTGCGTTTATAATTTTGTTCAGTGTATATAAAGCACATCAAACTAGAAGCTCAAACGTGCTTGCTTGAGACTCAAGAACCAATAAGACTTGTTTGTATAGGTTTGGAATGACATATTGGTGAATTTTGATTTTTGGCAAATCTCTCCTTTATAAATTAACATTTTAGAGCATCAAACACAACCCCCTTCTGCTAAACCTAACCATTTCTGAACAAAAACATGTGGCATCAGTATTTGGCCCCTTGGAGGTGAGAATAAATTCAAATTATAGATGCGTTTTAGTGAGTTTAGATGATTTTAGCCTTGATTTTAAAGTCTTCTATGTTTACAGTACTAGATGAGAGATACAAAATGAATCATCAATAAGTCATAAACCTCCAGAAAATTTTGAACTTTTTTAAAATGCATCACTGTATGTTCATGATGCAATTTACAGGGACTACAGCATTACTCTGGATGCTGAAGAAACTAGCTGTCACTACTAGAACTAATAATAATATGAAATAAGGAAATCAGGAATCAGAGAAAGGTCCATTTACTGTATGAAAGGCTTTTACCTAGCAATAAACCATATCTGCAATGTTTGGTTACAGTCTAGGAAAGTATTGTATAGTCCATTAATGGACTGTAACGGGTTGCTAGCAGTGTTGGGGAAAGTTACTTTTAAAAGTAATGCATTACAATATTGCGTTACTCCCCCCAAAATTACATTACTTAGTTACTTTTTATGGAAAGTAATGTTACATTACTTTTGCCTACATTTTTCCCATATGGGCTGGGCTTTCTTGAAAAATAAAATGCATGAAGAATAGGACACAGGAGAAGAAAGTTCAAAACTCTTAAGCAAAATAATAATAAATAAATAATAATAATAAAATAATTGCTTATTAGTATGGTTGAATTGGATCATCAAAGGTCAGCAGCAAAGACATTGGTTAATAAAATGGGATTAAATACATAAAAGGATATTTGTGTTAACATATTTAATTATTGCAGGCTTGTGTCATATTCTTTTCACTGTTTGCATTTCACTGTTTTTATTCATTTTGAGAAATACTGAATCTGTTTTTGTGCAAGTGAGATGAATAAATGCATGTTCACATTCAGTCTAGAACTACAGTAAGCATCATGTTTACACACAACACACTCGATTTCTCTCAAGTCAATAAATGGGAAAACAAAGTAACTGCCATTACTTTATTAAAAAATTAACCCAGAAATGTTCTTGTAAATTAAAAAGTAATTAGTTACTTGAAAAAAAAGTAATCTGATTACGTAACTCACGTTACTTGTAATGCGTTACCCCCAACACTGGTTACTGGGATCCCATGTCTCCATTGGGCTCTTGAGCAGGCTGCTTTAGGGGTTGTCCATATAGCAAGTGTGCTATAAATCGCTTCAGATAACAAAGTGTCTGTGAAATGACAGCTCTTTAAGGAAAGTCTCATATGTGTGCCTCTAAGCTGTTGTTTTCTCTTCTGGGTCTGTGCTAATGTGTTCATGCCACCCACAGGACATTGTATTACTTTAGCAATACTGTATTATTTTGTAAGCATTGCCTTGACACTTACATTATTACTCACTGAATGTGCGAAACCAATTTTGTATCTGTTAGTTTTGTTATTATTGTTCAGACTGGCTGGGAGTCTATGGCAATGCCTAGAATCATATTGTACAACAATTATAGAGGAACATCTCAGCTTATATCATGGTAAATTTGGAGTCTCAAATGCTCTAACATCATCAATGGATCTTCTTAAAACCATTAGGCCAAGAATCAATATTTTTTTCTGTGAATCCTTGATTCATGCCATCAGTCATACAAGGTGGTTTCGATTTCCACCCGACTAGATTTTCCACTTTTTACAATTTTGAAACTTCTCCGACAGCCTTTATTTGATCTTTTCCAAATTTAGGTCAAATAATCTTAAGACCATATTGATCATAAGTTTTAAAACAACACTTTGGCATACTGAATCGAAACTTAACATGAAAACACACCATAAGAGTTTGGGGGCAGAATTACTTACTTGTCAGAACTTGTAACGGTTAAATTGCAAACTTAGCAATAATTGACAAAGTCACAGTGCTTTATTTCTTTGGATCATGCTTAATGCAGTGTGCATAATCTTAGCGTCTTTGGCCCCATAATTGCAGCTCGCAGCAATATTTTCTTACTTCTCTGGTTCACCTCAGATACTCAGTCCTATTTATTAAATATATATTCTCATTCAGTATGTTCTCCTTTTTATCTCTTCCTTTTCTTATACTTCAGGTGGAAGCAGCCACAGATTCTGAGACCGATAGTAAAGGTCTCCCACAGTATCAGTCCGTGGGTATCCAGGTGGAGGATGAGAAGAGGTAAGTTAACAGGACTTTTGTTCCACAAGACCAAATACATTAACATTGTCATGTACATTACCATGCCAATCCCTCCGAGAGTTGTCATGACAGAACTAAGGTTATCCTGAACTAATAATCATTTTAAGACCAATAGAAAAATAAGTTAAGTGAAATAATTAATATATATAAATATAGATAGCCCTTTTCTGTGTGTAAACACATAAACTGCTTTCTTTAATATTGTCATTCTTCTGTTCATTTTCAGACTTGGCCGCTTTAAACGGTCCAACAGTGTGACGACGGCAGTTCAGGCTGATTTGGAGCTGGAGGGGTTTCCTTCGACCGAAGACAAGAGTCTGCAGTTTGGAGGATTTCAGCGGCATTCTGAACCCAGTACACCCACACAGTACAATGTGGTTCGGACTGTACGCACACAGGGCCTTTTTAGCTACCGTGAGGATTACAGGCCCTCCAGTGGGCCGCCCAGTCCACAGCCTGAACCCTGGCTGGTGGAGCCCGCTCTTGAAGCAGCCGAGTCCGGCCGGGTATCGCCACTCCGCCGCGATGGCAGCTGGTTCATGCAGCTTCTGCACAGCGAGACCAAACGTCTGGAGGGATGGTGCAAAGACATGGAACGTGAGGCTGAGGAGCACGACCTGTCGGAGGAGAGTGAGTGTGCAGGCATCAAAAAACAAAAACACATAATGAGTCTAAACCAACACAATCAATCTATCCATCCATCTACCCATCTATCTATAGCATTTCAAACAAAACTGTGT